ATATTTTATGGCCTGAAACGGATGTGAAATGCAATCTTTGATATCCACCAGTAAAATCTCGGGGATGCAGCCACGCCCCTTCTTTGTTTGTTTGTTTGTTTGCATAGTTCTATGGCGGCTTCTGTGCGACAGTAGCCAAGGTGAATGGCGGAACAGAGACTAAAATATTTACTGTTTGGTCCTTGACAGAAAGGCTTGGCTGATACCTATTCTAGAGAGAAACCTGAACCTTGGGATTGCACCAGGCCACAGGTATCTGTCACCGCGATTTCCAGAAGAACCGAGGACTTGCGGTAAGGGAAGCTTCTCTAGGAGAACTCCGGTCATCCGAAGCGAAAATCCTTTCTTTCTTGGCATTCCTGCCTCCCAAAGCCGCCCCCTTGGTAAAACCAGGATCCATGGTGTGACAGTTTGAACCATTTCTTATTGACCTCACTCAGTCACCCATGGTCCCCGTTGTCCGTCACAGGGCTTTGTACACAGTGACAGATCACGAGAAGGATAGAGGGTGGCCCTGTCTGTTCCCCTGCCATTAATCTAAGCAGATGACAAAGCTTCCTTGAATGCAGCTGATATCCTTTCGGACAGGCGCCATTGCTCCGCGGTGTCAACGGGTTATTCCTCATTCTCTGCTTCACTCTGTGCAAATGGCCAGTGTTTTTAGGCAACAGAACATTTGTACTCATGACAAAATGAACAGGCTTGCATTTCGAGACACGCCATCATGGTAGCCAATATTTTCCTGGGCTGTGGCTGGGAATCAAGGTGGCATAGAGAGTTTCACATGGGCTAATAAACACACAGCCTTAACCATCGGAGAGCAGAGCAGACTGATCCGCTGCCTAACCACCATTGACATCCATCGATTTTCCACTGTCTCCTCCAGGGGATTTTTTCCTAGCTAGATGCAAGACTCAATACTGTCTGGACATAACCGGGCATTGTCCTTAGGTGACACGTGTGTGGGATATCTGCACCTGTGAAGAGTGTGTGTGTGTGTGGGGGGGCATCACGTCTTGGCTGGATTACTGCAGTGGGTTCCTAACTGGCTTCTCTGGTTCTGACCTTGCCCTCCTATAGTCTCTCAGCGTAGCAGCCGGGATGCTTCCTTTAACACCCAAGTCAGGGGGCCCCTGGCTGGCTCACTTGGTGGAGCAGGTGACTCTTGGTCTCAGGGTTGTGGGTTTGAGCTGCACATTGGGTGTTGAGATTACTTAAAAAAATAAAATCTTTAAAATAAATGAAAAAAAAACCCACATAGGTCCGACCATGTCACTTCTTGGACCGAAGCTCTCGTGTCATTCTGAGCAAAAGCCAAAGTCCTCATAGCAACCTAGGAGGCCCTACATGGTCCAGTCCCCTGATGCCTCCCTGATCCTCTGCTTCTCACTGACCCCACTGGTCACTCCACTCCAACCACATGGACCTCCTTGCCATCCTCAAACTGTGAAGCCCACTCCTTCCTCAGGGCCTTTGCACTTGCTCTTTCCCCTGCCTGGAACATTCTTCCCAATGTAGCCTCATGGTTTGCTTCCTCACTTCCTTCAAATGCCATCTCATAAGTGAGGCCTTCCTCAACCACCCAACATAAAATAAGTCCTGCACACCGCAGTACTCTTTCTGCCTTACCCTGACTTTTCTCCATAGTACTTATCATAATCAGACATACTACATGCTTTCCTGATTGATTTTCTATTTCTTGCCATTAGAATGTAAGTTCCACGAGGGCAAGGATTTTGCCCCTTTGTTCGCGGCTCTGTGTTCTGTGCTTAACATAGTGCCTAGGAGAGTAGGGGCTTAATTGCCACGTGACAACCTGCTGTCCACAGAACCTTCGGCATGAGGCCTTGTTGAGGGTAGAAGGCAGTGGCCTAGCCCTGCCCAGTGCATGGTATATCAAAGAGAGCCCTTGTGTGTGGGAAGTGGGGGACAGTGGGCAGGCAGTGGGGTGGGGGAGAGAATGCTAAGCTGCTGGGGATGTGTGCCATGGGTCATCCTATCTTGATGAGTGGCCCTGGAGCCCCCCTGGGCAAGGGGAATGCTTAGCTGGGGTCCAAGTTCCTGAGAATGGGGATCAAGGGCAAGGGTGCCCCGGTGATTCTGTCCCCCTTGCTCTTTGAGGACAAGTTGGAGGCAGGTGCTGGTCCCAAGTCTACAAAAACAATTAATTTGAAGTTTCTTCTTCCACAGATATCAGCCCCCCCACCTCCCAAACATGTCTAATAGCAACTGAGTCATGGGTCAATGATGGTAGTGGGTACGTGGGTGGGGGGTAACTGATTGATCAAGGGCCAAGATGTCATCCCCACTAATGAACAAGTTAATAAAGTCTTCAATGAGGAGGTGGTGATTAATGAACCAATCAGCTTGCCCTGTAATTGGGAAGTGGAGCTGAAGGGCGGGGTGGGCCCGTGGGAGGTTTGTAGGCTGTGGTGCACCGGCTGCTGTCCCTCTCACAGTCATTCTAAAGGCAAAGAGAGAAGCGACTACTTTAGGGGCTGTACCTTGAACCCAGGCCTTCCCCCATACCTTCTGGCTTCTCTACTGTTTCTCCTCTGCTCCCATCTGTCCTCAGAACCCCTCCCCCAACTCCCCGAGGAAGGAGAGGCCACCAATTCCCTTTGGGCACTTCGCAATCACTGTCCTCTCTCTCTGCCTGGGATCAGTACACCAGAAACCCCTGTCATGACCTCAGCCAAGGCTGCAGAAGAGCAAATGGCTCCCACTCTTGGACATCCTTGTTCCTGTTAGCCTGCAGGGGTCCTTATCTAGACTCTGACCCCTGGGATTACAGCTGTTCCAACCAGCTCCCTGGCTGTTGCCTTGCCGTCTGCTCCCCCAACTGGACCCAGACTTGTCCCTCTGTTTTCCTCTCTATCTCTGTGTCCTGGCAACTCTCCAGACGGGCTCTGCAAGGAGGGTGCTGTGCCTCCTCCCTTAGGATGGAGCTCCCTGGTGATATGGCTTTGCCCCTCCCCTCACACTGGGGATCCCCAAGGGTATGGCCATGACTGTCCTCTGAGACTGGGGGTCCTGGAGAACAGGGCTATGCACCTGCCCTCAGGTGAATGATTTTTCTCCTCCCTCTGGGTATAGAGGCAGGTCCCCTCTTCTGTCTTCATGCTCAGCGTGCTGCCCTGGCCTTTCCTGGGATATGCAGGGCCCATGGGCCTGACTGGTTGATAAGGCGCCATTTCCGGAGAGTGCAGGTGATTGAACCTATAAAAAGGTGATTGAGGGAGCCCGATTCTCTACCTTGAGAGAGCTCTAAAAATAACACCCACAGCCATCTGTCCTGGGGGGTGGTGGGGCTGGCGCAGGAACAAGATGGCGCCTCCTGCCCTCAGGGGCTGATGGGACACGGGGAAGCCCTGGAGGCTCTGGCCAGGCTGGGAGAAAGGGAGCTGGAAAGGGCTTTATGGGGAGACTCCCCAACAGCCCTCTTTTCCCAGTGGGAACAGGTGGGCCTGATGTGGTTGACCTCTCAGAGAGGGTAGCAGGCCCCCAAATTAGACTCCCCTCCCCTGCTCCCACGCCCAACTTCTGAGCTCCATGGTTATTCCTGGTAGTGAGCCATTCTGCCCCTCAGGGGAGAGGGCCTCTTCCTGGGGTCTGCCCCAGCGCTTTTCTCTTGTTCGAATCCTGGGTTCCCTCCTCTCTCAGACCTTCAGTTACCTCATCTGTAAAATGGGTATAAACTCAGCTCATTGGGTTGTGCTTCCATCCTGTATGGCCTGTGCACAGTAGGTGCCTAATAAACAGAGTCCCTTCCTCTTTCTTTCAAAGGCCCTGGGTGAGGATCTTTGCCCCAGAACCCAGTGGAGACTGAAATGGGCTGGGGACAGTGGGCTTGGGTCTGTGCGTGTCAGGCTGGATGCGCAGGTGGCTGACTCAGGTGCTTCTGGGAGTGGGGACTGGCCTCTGCCTCCTTTTGGCCCTCTCCCCAGATCTTTATCAGGGAAGGGACATAGTGGGGTGTGCAGACAGACCTGTCCCCTAGGACATCATAAACAGCACGTCAAGAGCCCAAACCATAGCTCCTACCCCACCTCCAGTAGAAAGAGGCTTTCCCTGCCTTCCCAGCGGGTTCTGCCTCTCCTCAGCCCCTCTCCAAGGAATTGCAGAGGGAGGGCTGAAAAGGTTGCCTTTTCCGTGGACCAGTCACAGGTCTCATGGCTGGAGGAAGTGTCAGGCCTAGGCCCGTGCTTCCCACCCATGGGTAGACTAGGGAAGATGGAGTCTTATCCCTGGTCCCAGGGGCTGCCCCAGGAGTCTACATGCCAACATTCCACTTCCTGGGGAGGCTACACCCTGCTGTTGGGGGGCTGTGGGGGGAAGATGGGGTTCAGGAGCTGTCCAGGGTCTGAGTCTGATCTGATCTCCAGCAAGGTGGAGACATCACGCACTCTCTGGGTGTACACTCAGCGATCTGGCGGGGGTGGAGGAAAGGAGGAGGAAGGGCCCTCCCCACCCCTCCAGCTCCCCCTCCCCCTCAAACTCCCCCTCCTTTTCCAGGCCGAGATATAAGCCCCGCAGGGAAGGCGCTGAGCAGAGGAAGAGGCCACAGCCCGACCTGCTGCAGTCCAGTCCTTGGGACTCCTTTTGCAGGCCACTTGCTCATCTCTTCTTCCGGAGCTATCGCCGTGAGTGTCCCGGGAATGGTCTGGTGCGGGGGATCCTGGGCTATTTGGTGGAGAAACTGAGGCTGGGATGGTGAAAATTGGGGCTGAGAGGCCAGCATAGCCCTCTGCCTCCAGCTACCGTTCTGGGCAGTACGAGTGGGAGTTGGGGAGACTGGCAGAGCTTCTGCCTCTCTGAAATATAGGGAAACCGAGGCAGAGGCAGTGCAGTGCCCAAGAACACACAGCGAGCCGGTGGCTGAGCCTTGGTCCGGCAGTGGCCCTGCACAGGCCGGGGAGCGTGGGCCCGAAGGCAGCCTCAGCCTCCCGCAGTCAGGTGTCGAGGCCAGGGATGACCCACGATCCCTGCCCCTGCTCCAGATGGTGACGGTGCGCAGGCCGTGGCCCGCCGTGGCCACAGTGCTGCTGGCCCTGCTCGCCTGCCTGGGGGCGCTGGTCCACGCTTACCCCTCCAAACCCGAGGCTCCCGGCGAAGACGCCTCGCCCGAGGAGCTGAGCCGCTACTACGCGTCGCTGCGCCACTACCTCAACCTGGTCACTCGGCAGCGGTGAGTCGGCGGGGCGCCGGGTCGCGGGGGCTCCAGCCCTCCGCCCAGGGGCGTGCCCGTGTCTGACCCCGCCCCCTCTGGACCCGCCCCCAGGTATGGGAAACGCGACAGCCCCGAGGCGGTCCTCGCGAAACTGCTCTTCCCCGACGACGAGGACCGGCGGGTCAAGACACGGTAAAAGTGTCTCCCCGCCACCCACCCCCCCGACACACATCCTGTCCCCCAGTTCTTGGTCTGGGATGCGCGGCCCCACGGAAACACCTAGCGCGTTCCCCCAATCTAGCGTCCCCAGATCCGAGGTCGGTCTCTGAGCGATTCCTTTCCGTTCCTTCCTACAGGCCAGAAGGCCCGTACATGTGGTGACGACCCTAAGGGCTCCTGGGAGATACGCTAACTACACCGACCTCATCTGCATGGTTGCTCCCGATCCCGGAACCTGGGTTCCTCTCCCTGCCTGCTGCGCCTGGGGGGTGGGTGCGGGATGGGGGTCTTCATTCCATTTCTCCGCGTCCTCAGCCCCTGGGCTGGAGGGCTGTGTGTGGTCTTTTCCTGCTCCCCAAATAAAGAGCAAATTTCACTGAAACAGAATGTGTGCCTTTGTATTTCCTTTCCCTTCTCCCTCTTGGAGGTGGCATCCGGAGGGAGCGGAGGGTGGAGGCACCAGTCAGGAGAAGACGGGGCACCGCAGACAAAAGCCTCCCTAGGACAAGGCTGGGGCATAATGGGGGGGTGCTCTCTGCTCTGAGCTAAGAGAAGACCCTTTGGCCCAGCAGGGGCAAGGAGGATGGAGCCCAAGCAAGGGACTTTTTTTTTTTTTTAAGAGATTTTATTTATTTATTTGACAGACAGAGATCACAAGCAGGCAGAGAGGCAGGCAGAGAGAGGAGGAAGCAGGCCCCCCGCTGAGCAGAGAGCCTGATGCAGGGCTCGATCCTAGGACCCTGAGATCATGACCTGAGCCGAAGGCAGAGGCTTAACCCACTGAGCCACCCAGGCGCCCCCAAGCAAGGGACTTCTGTGGCACCCTCCAGTGGGGCAGGATGAAAGTTCTTGACAAGGGGCAGGGAGGAGCAGGAAAAATAATTTCGAGAGAATGGGGAGGGTGGAAAGGAGCTTGCTAGGCAGCCTAGGAGAACAGATGGAGACAGAGGTGCAGGTGGCTGGGAGTGTGGGCTCGGCACCCATCCCTCAGAGCAGTTACCCTAGCCTCCAGGGCTGTTGTGGCTGGGAGTATAGATGGGATCCAAGATGGGACTGTGGAGGAAGTCATTTGGGAGGGGGGTGAGGTGGGTGTACGTGTGCTGGGGGAGGGGTCATTTCTAACGTCCCCTCTTCCCTGGGCAGGAGGTGCGATGGGAGTGTAGAGGCTGCCCTTTCCCTTAGCAACTGCCCTCCCCCACATCACTGAATTCCCACTCGGTGGATAAGGCACTCATTGTGCCTTCCTGGTGACAAGGGACAACCCCCCCCCCCCGTGCACCCCTACCACAATTCCCTTGACTAGACGCTGAAGGCTGACGGCACTGTGGATGTTTAAACTGGAATCTGATCCAAATTTCTCACCACTCTATGACGGAGGAATCCCAGAGCCTTCCTGCAGGCTCATCTTCCCTGATACCCTTCCTTCCCAACCCCTTTTCTCCAGGAAGCCTGCCTTGATTGTCCCTGCTCTGCACTCTTCCTGACCTCTGTGGCAGCCCGGCTCTCATGGCCACTGCTCTGTTGTGTCCATGTTGCTATGCCTGGTCTCCCTTCTAAGTCTGAGGAATCCCTAAAGGAGGGGCCCACATCTTCCCACTCAGACACAGCCTCCTCAGTCTGTAGGCTCTTGCCCGGGCCTCTAGGTCATAGGACACACACAAGCACAAGGTGGGGAGCTGGGCAGTGAGAAGGAGAATCAGGCTGAAGCCAAAGGCACAGATCCAGAGCGGGTCGGCCGGTCAGGGAGGCTGGTGTGGCACATGGGAGAGTAGGAGTCTCTTAGGACTGTTTGCAGTTAGATGGCTATGGAGGAAGAGAAGATCCTAAAGCGGGCTCTGTCGTAGCTGCTCTGACACCATCTGCCCTAGGAGGCCTGGGGCTCCGACTCCTATCCTTTCCTGTGCTGCCTGCCTCTGAAGGTAGGGCAGGAATGGGTGGAAGGGAGGCAGGTCCGGGGCCTGGCACACATCACAAACTATGGGGACTCTGACGCTCGACGCCTTTGTCCAGACCACTCCCCTGCCTGCGGAGCCCTTTTGCTCCATTCCAGTCTGGAAAACATCTTCAGGATAGTGTTCACCTCTCCCCAGAAGCCTCTCCTGATTTCTCAGGGTAGCGTTAGTTTCTCTGGTTCTCCCTTCTCTATTGTTGTTATCTGAGATCTACCCCCTGTGTCATTCTGCCCCTTCTCTCCTCCAATCCCACTCCCTCTGCACCGGGAGAGGAGGGGTGGGAACCTACAGTGGCTGCCACGAGCTTTGGCTCATTTTATGGTCAGAGGGGTGGGACTGCACGTACCAGTGCTCATGTCCCTGGCCCCCTGTCTGGTGGTCTGCTTGGGAGGACTTTGGTCAGTTTGAGGCTGATGGAAGAGACCCCTGGTATGAATTATGCATGACCACAGACAATTTCAGTTTGGCCTGTCTGGTTGGCCATCACTGACCTGGGTTCACCTCCCATTCACTTGGAGGAGGGCTGAGCCTGTGGTTTATCCACGGACAACAGGACTCAACCAGCCTTGCCCCTGTAGGAGCCTTAGATGGGATATTAATGGTGATAACAGGTACCTTTTGAAAGAAGCACTTACTTATGCGCTAGACACTGAGCTATTTGTTTTACACACACCTTATTGCTAGAATATTGATTTGGCTTTTTAAATAGAGGCAGAATTAGCAGTGGCTTAAACAAGACAGCAATTTATTTCTTTTATTTAAAATTCAAGTGGCATCTGGGGGAGTCAGCAGCTCTGTTCCAGGAGGACATCCAAAAGCCCAGGGTCCTATTTTGTGGCATCTCCTTGTCCTCCTCTGCATGACTGAAGATGGCCCACCATCACCACCTTTGTGTTCCAGTCCCAGGGAAGGGAGGGACCGGTGAAGGGCAGGTGCGCTGGGTACTATGTTGATTCACATCTACCTGAAGACTTAGCAGTGTTCACCAACCACTTCATATCAATCATGATTTTGTTGGTCAGGATTGCAAAGGGCTCAACTAGGCCCCTGTCCCTTGGAGTCTTTCATGCAGTGACAGGTTGGCTGGGGCTGGGATCGTCAGAGGGCACCCCCTGGGTTGATGCCAAAGAAGGCTCACTCACATTGTCTGATGGGTACTGCAGGGAGCTCCACTGGGTCTCTTGACCCAGCAACTCCATGTGGGGGTCCCTCCCACGCCATATTCTTGGGGTAGCTGGATAGGCATGGTACCTGCCACCCCCCCCCTCCCCCCGCCTTCGCCCAGAGTGAGGGTTCCGGGAGAAGCAGGAGGAAGCAGGGCGCCCTTGGCTTCCTGGGGCTACTGTAACAGAGCACCACAAGCCCAGAGGTTTAACAGCAGTTCTGGGGGCTAAAGTCTGAAGTCCAGGGGTCCTCGGTGTTGCTGTCTTCTGAGGGCTGTGAGGGAAGGGGCTGTTCCAGGCCCGTCTCCTTGACTCGCAGACAGCTTCCTTCTCGGCATGACTGTTTCGGTGTCCAAATATCCCTTTGACTTAAACACAGCAGTCATATTGTGTGAGGGGTCTACTCTCCTTCAGTGTGACCTCATCTTAATTAGCGACATCTGCAATGACTCTATTGCCAGATAAGGCTGGATCCTGAGGTACTGGGGGTTAGGATTTCAACACACGAATTTGGCGGGGGGAGGGGGGGATACCATTCAACCCCTAACAGCTCCCTTTTATGACCTGGCCTCACAAGCTAACAAGTCATCTTCCAACACACTCTATCGGTCAAGCAGTCACAGGTCCACCTGCATTCGAGAAGAGGGGACACGGGCCCCGTTGTAGAACTACACGTGGGAGAGGAGTTGCTCTGGCAACTCTTTTGTGGTCATCTTTGCGACCACCGGCCTCAGGACCGCACCACCATTACTAGAACCAGAGAGGTGCCAAGGCACTTAAACACTCATCTCATTGGCTAGAACTTAGTCACGTGGCCCCACCTCATTGGCTAGAACTAGTCACGTGGCCCCACTTCATTGGCTAGTACTTAGTCACGTGGCTCTAACTCATGGCCAGAACAACCCGGGAGCTGCCTTTAGCTGAGTGTGCAAGGGCTATTCTCAGTCTCTTCTTTCATGATGGAGGGAGGAGAGGGAGGGTACTGGGACAACGCACGGTGTCCGTTACAAACACGATCTCCGTTGAACAGCCTGAATCTGAGCTCTCACTCAGGCCTACGCCCAGGAGTCCGGTGGTGGGCAGTGGTGGTGGTAGGAGGCGGAGGGGCGGTGTGACCTCAGAGACAAAAGATCTGGATTCCAGTCCTGTCTGCCGATAGTCAGCCATGTGATTCTGGCCAAGTCATTCCATTTTGCTGCCTGTATGTCTTCACTGGTTATGCATGGAAGCTTATACCTTAAATAATAATGATAAGAGTTCACTGCTTAGGCTCAGAGAGCTTATGTCCTCTGCCGAAGGTCACACAGCTGGTGAGTGGTAGAGCTAGTGAGGAAAACAGCTGAATCTACAGCCTGACATATGCTTATTTTTTAAAAAAATATTATTTATTTATTTATTTGAGAGAGTGAGCAAGAGAGAGCACAAGCAGGTGGAGGGGCAGACTCCTCGCTGAGCAAGGAGCCCTGTGTGAGACTCAATCCCAGGACCCTGGGATCATGACCTGAGCCCAGGGCGGATGTTTAAACTGACTGAGCTCCCCCAGGCGGCCTTGGCATATGCTTATTAGCACCCCCTCTTTTCCTTTACTCTCCTACTCATTTGTAACCCTTCTCAGAACTGCTCTGGCTACTCTCCCTTCCAATATCCTAAGGGAAAAATTCCCCTCCTTCCACACCCAGACCCTTTTTTAAGGAAAAATCTGGGCTGACGATGATACGATTTGCTTTTCAGGCGCTGTGGGCAGGGAGGGAAAATTACTGAACACTGTGATGCCTGCAGGGTTCCTGGGTGCAGAGGGAGTCTCCCGGAGAGAGAGAAGCAGGGACAGAGTCCAATCTCCAAATGAGTGACCTGAGTCCCCAGTCAGGCCTGCGTTGATTTGGAGGGAGTGGGATGGTGGGCTCGTGTGTGTGTGTGTGTGTGTGAGACAGCTGTCCTCAGCCTAAGGGTTTCTCCAGCAAATCGGGGACCCCCTGGGTTCCTGACATCCAGGCGCAGCCACCCGTCCCCACCTCTGTTGCTGCCACCCAGTGCAGGAATAAGACATGGTCCTAAGAACTGGGCCTGGCTGCTCTGGAGGCACTCTTGGGAGAGGGGGGGAACAGAAGATGCGATGCTGACCATATTCCTGCCCTGCAGTTCCGTATACGGGACCCCACTCCACTTGCTAGAGCACACTCGGCCTCACCCTGTGATCCCAGGTGTTCCTCCTAGTTTCACTGAAGCCCTCACTCCATCCCTAATGTGGCCCATCGGCCATCCTCCTTGTCTTAGAAGGCCTGGGGCTGGGCGGGTGAGAAGGGACCTTTTCCATTTCATTTCGTCTGCCTGCAGGTAAGTGCTTGGTGCCTTCTCTAAGCGGGGCTCCAGGGCAAGCCCTCAGAACGTATGCAGATGAGTGAGAAACATCACCCTTTTCTGGATCTGGCCATACAGTTCAGAAAGCACACCCACAACCTTTCCCTCTTCCTTTGTCCTAACATCCCTGAGAGGACCTGGAAGGGGAATCTGTTGTTCACAAAGGAGAAAAATGAAAGCTATAGGTTCAGTTGACATCGTGGAATACAAGTCATTTCTTAGGCACAAGACAAAACTATAACTGGCCCCAGCACTCTAGTCAGTCCGCAGATCTGCCATCTGTCTGCAGGGGCTCCATTCCAACATAGGTAGTGGCCAGAACAGGTCCCAGCAGGCTGTAATCTTGCAGGCGGCCTGACCTTCCGAACTAGGATTGGGCCCTGGCGCCCCCTGGTGGCACACTGCAGCTGCTGCGGCCTCATCACCTCCGTTTTGCAAAGTGAGCACCAAGTCCCGGGCTTGCTGGGACAGACCAATTATTTATGTATTTGAGAGAAAGAGAGGACAAGCAGATTCCCCGCTGAGCAGTGAGCCCAATGTAGGACTCCAACCCAGGACCCTGGGATCGTGATCTGAGCCCAAGGCAGACGCTTCACCCACTGGGCCACGCAGGTGTTTCTCTATATTTGTTTTTAAGCTGTTGTCTGGTGAAGCATTATTGTTCTTCTTGTTACCAGAAACCAGAATTGAGCAGAACAGACATTTACTAACACTTTCTTTATCCTCACTATCTGGAGGAAAATCAAAGGTCAGAGAGGCTAATGGAATTATTTTCCAGGGTGCCACAGAGCCAAGGGCAAAGCCAGGATTTGGACACTAAGCCCGATATGCCAGATCCCTGGGGTACCACCTCCGGCTGTCACACCCTCTACGACTCCCCCTGTAACACACACACTTTTGGTGTCTTGATCTGGGACAGCAGGACCTCAGGGGTAAGAGGTCGTGTGCTCCCTACTCAGGCTTCAGTGTATCATTTAAATACACTGTTATTGCTGCTCAGCCTGAGCTGGAAAGGGGTTGGGGGCTGAGGAAGGGACGCTGAGCTGGGCAGTCTCACAGGCTCGTGGGGGTGGAGGCGAGGCGGCACGGTTGGGATGGTGGGCTTGGGATTCCAAGCCAGAATTTAAGTCCTAGGTGTCTGTGTGGTCTTGGGCAAGTCTCTTCGCCTCTGTGAGCCTCACCTTGCTCAGCCAAAAAATGGGAAATTAGAGCAATACTTTGACAGCCTCACTTAGGAAAAAAGAGTCCAGATTTTGGAATTAGACTTTGTGTTAAACTCTGGATTTCCCACTGACTAGTTATATGGCCTGGAGTTAGTTACTTAAAGTCTCTGAGTCAGTTTCTGAATCTGTAAGATGGGTCATTGCAGGGACCCAGTGAGATGACTGAGCGAGGGGCACACTGGAAAGTTCAAGGCTTTATGATGCTGGTTTATCACTGGAAAGGAGCTCTGGGAAATGGCTCTCGCACCCGTTCCCGCCACTCCAGTTCCCCTGATTCCAGGCACATGGGTTCTCATTCTGCACCCTGCACACCAGCCGGGTCCCTCTGTGCCTGGGTCCCCACTCCTTCCCCCATTGCCTAGTTACCTAAGGCATCTCCCCCCACCCCCAGCTTCCCTGTTCCCACTTCATTCTAGTCACAACCTGGAAAGGAAGTCCTGACTCTCCATCCTGGAGTCTGGAGCCCCAGCCTTGATCTAATGATTCCCGTTAATCCCTGGGAGGCAGGAGGGGCTGTTCTGAGGCCTGGGACCAGAACCTTTCAGTCATCCTGAGGTCCTAGACCCCCATTCTTCTTGAACCAAGCCTGCTTTGGCGCCCAAAGATGGTTGGGGGCCCACAGTAGACCTACTTTGGCCCACTTTTACCTGTTATGCTGCAGCCCTGTCCCCTTCCCGGCCCTGGCCCCAGGGCTGGTGTTCTGTGGATACCAGGGAGACGGTGGGAGGAGGGGGTGAGCTGCGGAGTGAGAGAGGCTGACAGGAGGCGGGGACTCTGGGGGGCTGAGGACTATAAAGGGGCACGGGGGAGGGCAGGGACACCCATCTGGCCCTCAGGACTCAAGGTAAGTGGTCCTAGTCTGGAGGGGACTGGGAGGCCAGGCTCTGGGGAGTCCTTGAGACTCGGGGCCTGGGGTGGGGGAAGGAGCTTTGCAGAGCAGGGGGGTGTTATTGGGAGGTCTGGGGTCCTGCTTGGGTCCGGCTCTACATCTGGACAGATGGATGACCCTGGCAGAGCAGTCTGTGGACTAGAAGACTGAAGACGTGTGCGGGGAGGGCGTGGTGGCCGTGCACACAAATGTGACCGTGGCCTTGTGAGTGGCAGGGTCCGAGGGTGCGCCCGTGCCTGTTGGCTGAGGGCGATGCAGGCAACAGTGCCTTCTCCAGGACCTGTCCCTGAATCCTGGCGGCGGTTGCAGGGGGGCAGACCCGCAGGTCCTGGTTTTCTGTCCTTTGATTCACAAGTTCATTCTGTGCGCTCCCACCCCGTTGGTGAGCTGGAGCACGTCTTCACCCCACCCCGAATCCCGGTCCTCAGAGCCACCAGGCCCTGGATGTCACGAGTCCTGGCTCTCCTGTCCCAGATCCCCACCCTCTCTGCTATGTTTTCGACTTTGCCAAAGGCCTTGGTGCAGACTTGGCTGGCGAGCGGCTCAGGCTCATGACCTGGGATGTCCGCGCTCTCCAGGGCACGTCTGGGAGGTTGGGCACAGAGGACCGAGTAGCCCTTCGCTCAGCCCCTTTGTTCCCAGGCTTGGAGAAATGGGTGATGGGTGAAGGGGTTGGGTAGATGGGCTCCGTTCTGCCTCTACCTTCCCTCTCCCCACTCCTCAGATGCCTGCTGCCCACCGCTGTCTCTCCCTGCTGCTCCTGTCTGTCTGTGCGGCTCTGCTGCTGCGGCCATGGCTTGGGGCCCGGGCAGCCCCGCGGGAGCCAGTGTATCCCGGGGACAATGCCACACCAGAGCAGATGGCCCAGTATGCAGCTGAGCTCCGCAGATACATCAACATGCTGACCAGGCCCAGGTGCGTGCGAGGGTGGGTGGGAGGGAGAGATCCCAGCCCCTGCGGCCGTGGGCCATGACCCCAGCCCCTTCCATGCTCCTGGGAAAGCAGAGCACCTCTACTGACTAGGCCTGGAGCCCTGGGCCCTGGGGGAGAGACAGGGGGTGTGCAAGGGTGGGTATGAGGCAGGTGAGCTGGCATGTGGTCACGGGGCTTGCCCCAGCTGCCTCTCCCCTCCCAGGTATGGGAAAAGAGACAGAGAAGAAACACTGGACATTCTGGAGTGGGGCTCCCCCCATGCTGCTGGCCCCAGGTGGGTTTGCTTCCCTGCTCTGTGTGCCTAGATCCCTGGGGCTGAAATGGGTGTGTGGGGAGGGGAGAACAAGGTCCCCAGGGCTGGCCTGGGGTCTCCAGAGGGTGCAAGGACTGTCCCCTCTCGCTGCCATGTTCTGCCGTCTCCTCACAGGGACCTCAGCCCAATGGACTTGTGATGCCACCTCCTGCCTTCTTTGACTCCAAGAGCAATGCTGGCCCACCTTCCCCCTTGGCACCCTTGGCAATGGCCAAAGCTTGCTCCCTGCCCCCACACAGACTAAATAAAGCAAATCAAAGTCAGAGCTTCTCTGTGTGTCTCTGTGGACCCCTGGTGGGGGCAGGCATGGGCCATATGCTCCGGAGAGACAGAGAGACGGGGGAGAGGGGGGAGGCACAGGAGGGAAAGGAGGGCACTGTCAGGGATCCAGAAGGGCTTCGGGGTATGTAGGGTCAGCAGGGCCATTCAGCTCAAGCTCTCGGGCTCCACAGAGGGGCAGGCCCAGAGGGAGGTAGGGGCTCCTCCACGGCCATTCAGCGGGTCAGTGAGATTTGACTCTTCCCATTTCAGCACTTCTAGATCTTTCTGATCAACAGCTTGACGACAGCCCTGCCCCAAAGGCACCCCCACCAATGCTTTCCTACACCTAGGCACCAGGCCAATTATGAACATATACTGAAGTGTCCTTGGCATGGAGCCAGGGGCAAAGACGCAGGCCGGAGGAATGAGTGGTGGCCTCAAGTCACCAGCTGCCCTCCTCCGGGCAGATCAGAGATGGCTCACTGCGCATGTTCAGTAGGACCACAGCTGTCCGGGGCCCGGGGCCCAGCAGAAGCATGGCCAGCGCAGGGGGACTGTGACGGGGCGGGGCTTGGGGCTGGGGTCCTGTGCAGACTGTTGGGAAAAGGAGCCTACTGTGTGCCAGGAGCGGGCAACCCTCCCAACCACCCAGTGAGGGAGATACTGTGTTCTTCCGTCTGCAGAGGCCGAGGCTCGGGGCGGAGCCGCAGCTTGTCCCAGGCCTGGCACACACAGCAAGCTAGTCCAGGCCCACAGCACCTGCTGTAGAATTGGAGGAACTCGGCTCTGAGCCCAGGGTCTGCCCCTCTCTGTGTCTGTCTGTGCGCTACCACCTCTCCGAGACTCACTTTCCTCATCTATAAAGAGGGAAGGATGATAGGGTTGCAGTGAGCGAGGCAAGAAATAACACGCATGAAACACTGAGCGTGCGGGGCGCCTGGTGGCCTGGTTGGTTAAGCCTCGGACTCCTGATTTTAGCTCAGGTGGTGATGGCACGGTCCTGGGACCCAGCGCCATGTGGGGTGTCTGGCTCCACACTCAGGGCGAGAGTCTGGTTGACATTCTCTCTCTCTGCTCCTCCCCCTCCAATCACACACTCTCTCTCTACAATAAACATGTACAAATTTAAAAAACAAAAACAAAACCAAACCAAACAACCCCGTGTTTGCAGCTGGAGGAAGCAGAAACTCTTGAGAATCCCTTGAACAATTCCTCTTTCACAAGTGAACCCGTGGATGTCCTATTATGATCTCTGTGTGGGCCGATATCCTTTAGCATCGATTTGCTGGAAATCCGAATTTCAGTCAAATAGATGCAATTACTTTTAAAAAGAGACAAGGAAAGAAACACTGAGCATGGTCCGTTGACCCACATGAAGGCCCAGGAAATGGGAATTTCTCAGGGGCAGACAGGGGGCCCCCCCGCCAACCAGCTGTTGCCATGACGCCTGCTAGAAAGAGTGGCCAAGGGGCTCCAGGATGGGGCTCTGGAAGGCAGACTTTCCAGGACTACAAGGAAGCATCTTTGAAGAACCAGGAACTTAGAGAGAATGGCTCCTGAGAGGTAGTGGAGGCCTGGGGGGTAGGAGCTGCAGGCGGGGAGAGTGGAACCAGGCCCTAAAAGGCACAGGGCTGGAGAGGATGCAACCTTACCAGGCAAATGCATGGGCTCAGGGCAATTCTCAAACCCAAGGGAGTGGCTGGGAGGGGGTCCCGGTTTCAGCCAAACAAAGTTTGAGTTTGGATGATGGATGTGGAAGTCCCAGAATTTTCTCTGGCCGCTAAGGGGATAGGCTCTGAGTAGGGAGAGAGGTAGACACTTCCCAGGGCAGGAGTTAGGGTCCTGCTCAGGACATACTTGTGTGTGAGAGGTGGCTCGCAAGAGGTGCCTGTCTCCCTGCCCCCCTGCCCACCTTCTGAGGGTCACCAGCCCCTCTGCCCCTCTGAGAGTGCCACCCCTCACACCCAGCTTCTCAGGGACAGGCCTCAGCGGGGCTCATTGCCAGATGGGCCCAGACGGTCCTGGAGGTCAAGGCAGGACTTCTTCATCCTGAGGGGCAGGCATAGGCCCTCCTGCTCGTTCCTGGGCCCACACGGGACATCCGGGCTAGCCTCAGAGCTGATCCGCTCTGTGGAGACACTCGTGCGGGAGAGGATCCTGGCTGAAGCCCCTCCTTTGAGGTTGCTGGGACCTGCTCCTCTCCCCTCTGCTGGCCCCCTAGTTAGAGCCCCCCCTCCCCAGGGGTGATCATGGGGAAGTAGGGGGCAGGTGGATGGGCTGCAGGGAGGAAGTAGGACAGACCTGCAGGGGTGGTCTTCTTCTCTCGAAGGAAGAACTCCAGGGCCCTCTCTCCCCTTGAAGGACGTGTCCCCTCCTGCCTAGGGCCCACAGAAGTCACCGAGCAGTAGAGCTGTTTCTCTTTATTGTTCTGCGCCGGGGGGCGGGGGGGGGTGATGAAGGAGGTGGGTAGGTAGGAGTTAAGGCTCCTCTCAGAATACAAAGGGGGTCACTGGGCCAGGGGACTTGAGTCAGGCATCTGAGGTCAGGGCCCTGCCTGGAGAAGGAAGTCCCTGGGAGCGCCCACCCTCTGGGGGGCTTCCTCTAGTTCCTCTCGTTCCAGCTCAAAGTGCCCCCCCCCCCCCCCCCGTTCTGTGGCTCTGGATCGGTGACCGCCTGCCCAGGCTCTCCTACCTGGGGCCCTGGGAGGAGAGCGGCGGTTGGGGTTTCCCGGTGCTCTGTTGGGGGGGTTTCCCGGTGTTTGCTGGTGGGGTTTGTGTGGCGTTCGCGGCTTTCTTGGGGTTTTTAACGTTTTTCGATTTCTTGGTGTCCTTAGATTTCAAGCTGGGGAACACGTCTTTGCACAGATCATGGGGCAGGGAGGGCGGTGGGTGGGGTGCCCGGTGATGTCCCCTTCCTCCCCCATCCCCCTGCGCGTTCTCCCTCTCTCCCTCCCTCCCTCTCGCTCCCCCCCACCCGCCCACCTGCTGTTGAAGAGCTTCTCTAGGTACTTGTTGAAGTGGGCGAAGTTGGCCATCCAGTCGGCCGCGCGGGGCCCGGGAGTCTCCGGCTCTTGCAGCTCCTCCCCCAGGGCTCCCCGGGGCGGCGCCAGCAGCAGCACCAGGCACACCAGAGCCAGTGCGCACGCGCAGCGCAGAGCCGGCGCCTGGGGAGGGGGTGGGGAAGCAGACAGAGCCGCCGGGTGTCACGTGACGCCCACCGCGGACCCGGGGCTGGACGGACTCCGCGAAGCGTCTGTCTGCGGGACGCACGCAGGTGCGCGAGGCCGGACTGGACATCCCGGTGCCCAGGCCGAAAGATGCGCCCCTGGCCGTGCGCCGTGACGCACCCACGCACGAAGCCCCCACGGCGTGGTGGGGATGGACCGGCAGACACACTCTCGATTGGACCCACGGGGGCTGCGTGGAGCCACCGGTCAGCTTCCTAACCCCATCGACCTCTTCTGCTACTCCTTGCTCACCCCACTCCAGCCTCGCCCGCCTCCTCGCTGTTGCTCCTGCTGTTCTCTTGCCTGGAAGACTTCCTCCAGATAGCCGCAAGACCACCTTCTTCACCTCCTCCAGGCATCAGCTCAAACGCCACTTCCTAAATGGGTCCTACCCTGACCCCTACTTAGAATTGCAGCCCAGCCCTTGATCTGGTGCCTTCCCCTTATGTGTCACTTCTAACTTACTATATATTCTATGCTTGTTAAAAATTGTCATCTCTCCCAAGAGGCACGTCCCTCTTTCCCCATTTGTGAGCACCATTACAGCTGGACTCTGCCTATTCTGCTCACTGATTTGCACAAACATCTGGAGCAGTGCCCGACACTTCGCAGGTGCTCCATTCCATTTTAAATGAAGGACTAACACAGCTGCATAGGGGAATGCCAGCGCAGGGATCCCCATGTGCGCACCCAGCTGCGCACGGAGAATTTTATGCTGATTTCACGCAGGCGCATTCGGTGATTCACATACTCTGATGCCTGTACCTGTGATCCACACCCTCCAGAGCCCCTGGGACCCTCAACTCTCTCTTGACCAGGAAAGCCCCTCACCCCCACCACCCAAAGCAGGGACAGGAAACCCCCGCAGCTGTCCTGGCCATCAGATTGGCAGAGGGAGCGACCCTGGTCTCACTCATTCGTGCCCTTAATGCCCCGGGGAGGGGACCTCGGTGGCAGCCTCCATCCCCAAACTCCTGGAGAGCAGAACTGACAGGGGTCCCAAACTCAGCCATGAGACATTACCATGGTGCTGGGCGGGCGCAGAGCAGCACAGCAGAAGGGTATCTATCCTACATGGACCGCCGAGGCCCTTTATAAACCTTTAGCTCCATGCCCCCTTTCCCACAAAGGCTCCACGCCCAGTTTGCCGCCTCCTGCCCCTGTGTCATCACCTGGGAGTTGGGAACAGAGAGAAAGTGGGGGTGAAAGCACACGGGCTGCCGGCTGTTCTGATCTGGGCACAGTTCGTGCCAGGGGGCCCAGAGGTGTGGGTGGCAGAGGCAGGAAGCCCTGGGGAGTTGGGGTCACCTTTTGCCTCAAGTCTACAGATCCCAGGGAGGAACTGTCTCTGGGGTTGAGAGGGGACTCTGGTTTGCCCAGGGACTGTTTTTGGGGTTGGGAGGGGGCTAGGCTGAGAGATGAGGTACCCCTTCCCTCCTAGCTGGGGGCTCAGCACCCCTACTCCTGGCTTCCAGGCCTGCTGGCAGGGGCATGGGCGAGGCTAAGCTTTCTGCCTTAGGACTGCAGGCCCTACTGCTCATTCTGGAGATTTTCGCCGCCTGCCTAGCTACTTTGGAGACCCTGATGGGAGACGTGCAGAGCTTTCTCAAGTGTGGTGGGTCTCATGTGTCTGAATGATGAACTCAGGGCTT